TGTTGTTGTTGTTTTTTTACCCTGCTGGGGAAAGGCCGGGCAGGTAAGGAGGAGAACATTTTGGTTTGAAGAAAGCTGTGTGCTGAAGGTGCAACTGGGCCTGTTTTGCATGTGCATGGCTGGATCCATATGAACACAACTATAAGAAACAATCACACTGAGATAATTTCACTGCAGGGTGAAGGAACCTGTCTGATTCAGGGTGCATGCCAGATATTTCCCTTTTGTTGCACATATCTGGACCAAAGATAAACTAAACTTTGGCAAGCATTGAAATTCAGTAAAGGAGCGTTCTGTGTCATGGCTTAGACGTAGCTCTGTGATAGATACTGCGCCTTGTTTTGATTGAGAAAGCAAAAGTAAAGGTAATCAGATGATCAAATGTTGTAATTCACTTGGTCAGGGGCCATAGGGTTCCTGACACTGCATGTGATTGATACTGAAGGCAGTGTTGGATTGAATGTGGTGTATAAGTTTGCAGTCAGAAAGAAGAGGACAGCTGGGATGGTCCGTCTGCTGGAGCTAAATTTATATGCTGTGTCATGTGTCCATCTATCTATCTATCTATCTTATCTATCTATCTATCTATTCTTCTATCTATTCTATCTAATCTATCCTATCTAGTCTATCTATCTATCTATCTATCTATCTATCTATCTATCTATCTATCTATCTATCTATCTATCTAAATCTCCATAAATCTGTATTAATCTTTATCTATCTGAAGCTATGTTCTGTATCTCTATATCTAAATATCTATCTGTATATATCTATCTATGTTTATCTCTATATAAGAATCAGATCAGAATCAGAACCAGGATCAGCTTTATTTCCAAGGTTTTCACATACATACAAGGAATTTTAGTGAATAACAATAAACATAGTAGAGGAAAAGGAAAGAATACATCAAACTAACTAAAAATAATAAACTATAACTCTAACTGTATCTATCTATCTCTACTCATCTTTCTTTCTGTATTTCTATGCAATTCTATCTGTGTGTATCCTATCTTGATATATCTGTGAGCATGTATTCAGGATGCAAACTTTCTATATCAGAAAAATCTGTTACATCCGTTCAGGGGGTTTAAAGGGTAGAAGTGAAAAAAAAAAAAAAGAAGTGTGGCAATTATATAGTCTGCAGGGTGAGGCAACACAAGACATCCAGCCAAAGCTGAGTGGGTGGCAGAGTTGGGGGGGTTGCAGTGAAGGCCTGGCATGCCTGTATGACGCTGTGTTCAGCCGCTGAGCTCTGGTTGGAGGACAGAGAAATCAGGTGACCCAGTGCGGGCTAAATCGGTCCCGCTAGCAGACAAGTTGAGGAGTTAGGAGAATTGGAGAGTTGAAGGTGGAGATGGAGGGTTGAGTGGTTTTTCAGAATGATGAAATTCAAAATGGGCTCACAGAAAGTGGAGGGATTCCTCTCTTCCACTAATAGCCCCTTTATATCCCAGTAAAATCACCTAAAGGACTTTGATGATCCCCTGACTTTTTCCCATGTAGGGAACCCAAAAGTTTTCACATATCCCAGTAAAATATCTCAACATCTACCTGATGGATTGATCACATTGTTTTTTTTACAGATATTTATTGTGCCCATGTGATGAATCCGAATCACTTTGGTGAGCTCCTCAGTTTTCCTCTAGTGCTATTATTAAGCAAAACATAATAATTTGTTCATACTTTGGTTTATGACCGAATACCTGACATTCCCTTCATCCTCAGCTGTACTTGGTGTTAGTGTTACTTGGCAAAGGTTAGCCTGCTAGCATGCTAAACTGTTAAAAGATGGTGTTAAACATCAACACTGCTGTGTACGGCCTCACAGAGCTGCTAGCATGACTGTAAACAGTGATGTTGTTAGACGAGTGTGGAGGATGCTATTTATGTCATTACTGGGTAAATAAGTACTTAAATTAAGCAACCAACGCCTGCCACTTGGAAGCACCAAAGTGCAAAGCTGGCCGGTGCAACTCACGGTAATTCACTTTTACCTCGACTTACTACGGGACATTCACTTTGGTAGCTTCGCTTACGCATGTAAAAGAAAGAACACTTTATTTTATGGGTCAGTAATTTCCAATTATATATATATATATATATATATAAGATTAAAGTCTTTTCAGTTTAAGCACTTCAAATTAACTTCAAATTATTCCAATGTAACAGAATCTAGAGATTCTTTTAGTCCGTGTGCAGCAGCTGGATATGCAAAAATGTGAAAGCATACATTTTGATATAAATGGAGAATACATTTACAATAATAGATGAGGAATTAATGTAACATTTACTTGAGTTTCAAAATGTAGTCCTTATTTTCCCTATAACTACTAAATGACATGATTCTTTCCAGGAAACTGACAATATTAGGAATATTAGGAACACAAAGCTTTACGACATGATTTACATTGTACAGCTGTCAGTGGAAAACCCTCGATGCTCAAAATGTAACTTTTCCAAGAGTACATAAAACTCCCTTGTTTTCTTGCCACTGATTCAGTCACAATTTATTCTATATGATTTATGGTTAAACCAAGTTTTTTTTAACTTTATTAAATAACAACAACAGCTAACAACAGCTAACAACGACAATATATGTACCATTAAACAATAGTTCATATTTTCAATGAATGCTTGAAATGCACTATACATTGGTTTGATGGTATGAATTTTTTTGTGTGCTTCTGACTGTTTGGCCACTGGATGCGACTATCCTGCAGTGGTTGGTTGTTCCATAGATCTATCAAAGAAAAGCCCGCAGACTTATATAATGATTGCTAACTGGTAGATTTCAACACAGTGCACTCATGAATGTGCCGCTGCTGCGCTAAATCTGTCCACAGCTGAGAGCTGCTGATGGTTGGAGGCTTCATGGTGTTGTGTGGAGGGCTGAAATTACACAGTGGGTGGTTTGTTTAAATTTAACAAGGTTTGTGGGAAGGTGCTTCTTCCTCTTTTCTCCCGAAAGCTCATCAACCAGGTTCTATGTCAGGGTTTGTGTTGCAATACGTAGATTTGGAAATACAAGAAATTAATGTATTATATACAGTATATTTAATTACACATGGCAAACTGATGCAGGAAAAAGGATATTTCTATGGCAACAGCTGAAATATGAATCACCTTGCAGTGCTTTCCTCCGTCTTTCTACCATATAGCCAGATTCCGAACACTGTACCATGTATCATAAGAGACTGAATGACAAAGTTCCCCACCGTGACTCATCCTGACTAAGTCTGAGAACAGGTTGCTTGGCCTTTGAAAACACAGCAATATGCAGCTCTGAATGTTAGTGAAAGTGCAGCCATCTTCACTCTTACCTGTGCAGCAGAACAGGTGGGATGATGAACATCGTCCCAGGAGGATATGCAGGGTTAAAAATACCAGCCATTATTCTTCATTGACACATAAACTCGACTAAAGGTTGTGTGCCATAGGTCGAAATACTCGACATAACATCCGTTTGTTGTGTAGTGTTGTGTTGGCTGAATTAGGTCCAGATTACATTGTAACAATGCATAGACCCTACAGGTGGCTGTGCTTGCCGTGTAAATCTCTTAGTACAATGTGTTTCTTAAATTATGGGTGAAGATCAGCAGCCTGCAGCTTCACACAAGGTTACTTGTACTGCAGTTTATTGGGTCAGACAGGGACTACTGTACACTCACTGTGATCCCCAC